ATCCCACGGACACGAAGTTCAACAGGCGCTGGTAACTTAACGCCTGATGCCAGCTAAGATAATCGTGCACGTATATTGAGGTCGTCCACATGTCATATGTTATATGTTACGCATGGATGAGTTTTGGCGCGTGTGGCTGCAAGCAGGGATACAGTTTTGCTTGGAGCACGCGTGCAGGGAGGAATCTCATGTGGCAAGTCGCATGAAGGAGAGTTCTATATATAGACACAGACGAACAATACCCATGGAAACATGTGACGCCCGGTTATACAGTATGTTTACACTCCAAAGCATTCAGGGTACAGATAAACTTTCCCCCAAGCATACTGTCCAGGCAAACGATTTGTTACAAGATCCAGAAAGTGTAACACATTGGTGCACACGCCGACGTAGCGGTTCTGGCCCTGCCAGAGCACCAGCGTTGCGTAAACAAAACAGAAAATTATGTGCATGACGCCGTCCAGGACATGATGACAAAGGTTTCAAATCCCAGTTTCGTATCTCGCGCACATTTTTTCTCTCGGAATCTCTAGGCGAAGCTGGCTCCTCATTATGACAATCCTGGCCAGCGCAGGGGCAACCAGAAGTGTCCGTTGGAGGATGTGATGCCCGCGCTGCAATATCTTGCCGAGCCTCAACACTATCTTGCCCAATACTGCCTTGCCCAACACTCCGTTGGCGACAAGTTTGGAACTTCAGAATCTGGGTCACACTATTATCCAGGGTAGGAAATTTAGTTTTTTTTTTGCTGGTGGCGGAGTACAAAAATTTTTGTGGTCGGAGTACAAACTTGCGTACGGGCAAAGGTCTGTCTAATGTGGAATGAGTGCCTGCACAATGGGGCCTTGCTTGGAGTACATTACATACTGCCTTTAATGGGTTAACATTTTCCCAGTGTTTTTCTGGCAAAAATTAGTGTCAGCATGCAATTTTGCATTTAAGTGGAACTGAGCACTTCTTGTGAGTGAGGGCGCCACACTGATCTTATCCATATCCCTGTAGTGCTACTAGCTCACCTATACATGCAAAGATTGATTAATGGCACATGTTTATAAAAAAATATACAGATAGAGAGGTTGACAACAAAACTTTATACATATGCATTCACAGGTGCATCATACAAAGCTCAGTTACACATCATTACCTATCTACATGCAAACTTACACAATATCAAAATGATAAATCAGGTGCATCCTCTGCTTACTGACAAACTGAATTGTGGACAACCACTGTGCATCACACCCTGTTTTTTTAATGAGTCTTAGGCAGATGCAACTGACTATGAAAGCCTTATGTATGTGACATCACGAACATGTAGTCCTTTTGGCCTTTACATAATTAATATAAACATACCAAAAGTGTTCCTCTTCCTATCCTTCTCTTTCTGCTCTTCTCCTCTTTCAGTTTCTCACCTTCTCTTTCTGTCACTCTTCCTTACACTCCTCCTCCACTTCTGCTCCTCCTCTCTTCCTGCACCTCCTGTTATCCCTCTCCTCTTCTCCAAGTTCCCTATGATCCTATGCAGGGAAAATTGTAATAGTGTCACTGCAGGACCTTATGCCTGACAGCAAAGAACATGGCAGCATTGCCACCTGTCAGGTTACAGCAATTATAACCACAGGCTGAAAAGAGGCCAGCCTCATATCTGATCCCACATGGGAACCGCAAGCCTAACATTAATGTTGTATGTAGATACCTTAGTACCTACGCACCTACCCACCATGCTGTAGGTAGAGCAGGTTATAACAAGGTGATCCTTCACCGGCCTGCAGTGGTTAACATTTATAGATCAGCCCCCCGGTATTTATTTACCTTTTTGGAATGACTTGATAGCGGTCCAAAACTAAATCTCATGTAACTTTAGACGTGTGGATGCATGCTGCGTGAAAATTGAAGACAACGAATTCCACTTCGCCCCGCTGAATACCTCAAACTCGCAACTACGATGCACATAATCCCAATCAGCTTCGGTCACCCTCCGGGCCCCTCACCCCCACCACATCAAGACAAACAAACAAGCCACGCACAGGAGTTCTGGCGCACTCACAGACATTGTGATGGCATTCTAGCACTCGTCAATGACCCAGCCAAGTACAAGTACCACGGGTCGGTCCTGAAATGACAGGCTGTGATGAATAGTCTAAGAAAAGCCATTTATGCAGTTGCACCAACACAAATTGTAAAAAAACACGTAAATTTTTTAATTAAATTTGGCTAACTTTGCTAAAAACTTGCTGTTCTCCGGCTTGTACTCCGGCTTGTTCTCCCCGGGTCTCCCCATAGCCCCCATTGTGAGAAGAGCAACCAAGTACTGCGATTTTTTCCCGCCGGGTTATGGACCATCTCTATCTCACAAGTATAGGTACTGGTTGAGCCTGGAGACGTGATACCGTTGTTAAATAATTAAGGTATCCTCGAATCTTCAAAGACCGGCATTTACCGATTTCTGAAAAAGTGGTTGGCGTACTATCATTTATACAATAGTAATAAGTTTTGGAATGCTGCATGCCACAAACTCCCATTTTGGGAACGTAATTTCCGATGACATTTAAGAACCCAAAAGAAGCCGTTACCACCAAAAGTGTCGCCCACAAACGTGATATTTGGATACCATTTAATGTCACGATTCTATCTTAAAAGTGCCGATATGTGGTGTGTTTGAATGCTATGATTTGCAGTTTAATTGCAAGTTGGATGGTGATTGGTGGCTGGTATGACACGAGCAGGAATGAAACAAGCGCTTTGAAAAGGATGAAAAAGGATATTTTGGAATTTTCTCACCAAACCGTTTGCAAGATGCACGTCCTTTGGTAAAATCGCTAACATGTTTTCTTAATATGAGGTAAGTTAAGAGCATAGTTGGCATCCTGGAGTTATTGCTCTGCGAGTCTTTGAATGATCTAGTTGAAATAGATGTGCCATAGGTGGTTTTAGTGCTGCTAGTGACTTTCTGGTCCAACGAATATTGTTGTAGGTGTCTGTTGCGACGCGGACCTCCACTGCTCGAAAATGCGCTCGTCAGTTGCAGGATGCTGAGTTGCCGGTGGTCTCGGGTACGGGAGGCGAGGGGTTCGTCGCGTGGTGGGAGCCAGAGCCGTGATATGCTTGTCCGTTTCTTGAAAAGGTATCGGCAGGTGTGTGCGTCGTGGAGAATGCGGTCTTACTCAGGTGCGCCATATATTTTCCCCACAGGTAATGACTTGTGAGGTATGTGGCAGTGGTAGGTACTTAAAACAAGCACATTTCACATTTCAGTTTATTTCGTTTCCACAGAAGTCACTCACATAAGTTGTCATCACTCTTCAGGAGTTGCATAGGCTTGTACAAGTGCATCTAACCCATCTAATACAATGATGGAGGGCATTGACATGAACGCCCAGGATTTGCCATCTCCTCCAGGATTCCAGATGCTTGTTTCCATTTCTTGGTGCTCCATAGTTTGGTCCCTGGAAATCAAGTAAAAGTTATGACTCACTTTATGAAAGCAAAGTTCATGCACCCTTCTGGCTGTCAAGAAAGCAAAACTGCCTGCCTTGGTACTTATACTCAGGCTCATACATTTGAAATGGCATCTGCTTTGTGGGGCGACTGCAGCGTTTATCTGGAGTACAAAAATTGTCATTCTTCCAGCCAAGAGCCTGGAGTACAAAATTTCCTGGTGCCACACCCACCAGAAAACGGAGGTTTTTCCCACACTGCTATTATCTGACAACATTTTGCGAATATGTTGCTGTCGCGCACGGTGACGCCATGGGGTGGCCAGTAGGAGCGCGGCTACATGAAACCATCGCAGGCTTTGCAGCGTGCGCCGGCTTCCCGGGTGTAGTTGCAGCCATCGGGTTCTTTCTCTTCATGGATGCACCCAGCAAGGAGATAGCAGCTGCTCATAATACCCACAAGCATCGCCAAAACAGTACATCTCCTGGCTGCCTGTGATCACCGCAGCGCACTCACTGATGTACCTGCAGGGTTCATCATCGCGATCCGCCCACGATTCTCGTGTTTTTTTCGGAGAAGGCCCCCCTCTGCTGCGACCTCAGGGAGCATCGGCGGCAGCTTTTCCAATCTAACGCACACCTCGTCAAGGGCAGGAGCTTCCCCTTCCCCCATAGATCATCACCCATTCCCGAGACAACGATCACCTCAGCCCCACTCAGCGCCACTTCCACAGGCCATACAAAAAAACACGTGTCCAAATTGAACGTGCTTTCAGCATGCTGAAAAACAGTCTGCAGCAACTAAAACATGCAGAAGTGAAAAACATGAGCAGTGTGGCTGAGGTTATCATTGCATTGATCATTGCACCATGCATCGATTACTACATTGTGCATCATGAGCATGGGGCAGGGGATGACATAGTGCCTGCAGAGGCCCATGAGGCAGAACCTGTGGAACGGATCGACATAGGTGCACAGTTGCTTTCTAGCATACAGAACCTGCAGGTGCAGTGCGTGGGCATCACAAAGCGACAGCACATGGCTGACCGCCTTATGGCAAAGATGATGCATGCAGCCTGCTCCAGGTAAATGTTGCAATGTGAAGATGGCGAAAGATAAAAGCAGATCAGAAATAACAGTCAATTCATTACATTCAAATCAGCACACACACTTTGGGAAGCAGATCGTTAAGGGGCGGCAGGAGGCGTCTTTGGAAGGATCATAGACTGAAAAGCTTGGAGACTCTCCACATCTAGAAACACAACAATTCGTGTACACCCAGTTACTGGGACTACTTTGGGCAGCGTACATTGTGGCAATTCCATTGTTTATTTGCCTAGTGCATGTCAAATATTATCCACACGTGTTAACATTTGGCACATAACATTTTAAGAATTAAATGTTCACTGCTTTCCATAATTGACCATTTAGGTTATATCATGAGAGTAAA